TTATATATTTATTTACGAGCAAGCCCATTTGAGAAATAAATTAAAATTTTAAATTATAATTAAAATGTAGTGAAATATATATGGTCCTGAAATACAAACGTGGTATAATTCATTACATATAGACTAAAATAGGTAAAGAATTTAAAAGATTTAAAAAGACAATAAGGTTGAATAGAATATTTACATTAAACATCAAAAATTAAAGATCAAAGATTAAAGCTCAGTACTAAGTAATTGCTTTATAAATTTATGAAAGGGGATGTTAAATATCTCAAGATCGTTATGATAAAAAGATACATAAAATGTTTGTTGCTGTCGAGTTGAGCGGGTTGAAACATAAAGATTTATTTTTGTTAGAAGTTCAGTACAGCTGCATCTGCCATTGATAATTTTGAAAAGTAATGTCAGGTCTCTCTGTTTCCACCTAGTTTCCAAAGAGGGGTTGTTTAGAAAATTATCTATCAAACCATACTCGCAAAGGATACCCAATTTATAGGCTATGTATCTGCACATTTTCTATGTTTCTGCTGTGCGTTATGTAATGTGGAGACCAGACAAGAGCAATAATCTAGGTGAGGTCGGACTAGTGAACAATAAAGGACTTTAATTGCAATTGTGTCAGTAAAATCATGTGTTAGTCTTTTGATAAAACCTAATATTTTCATGGATTTATGGATAGCCTTAGGTATGTGTTGATTGAAGTTTAAAGTGGGATCTAGAATAACTCCAAGGTCTCTAATTGGATTAACAGACTCCAAGATATGACCATTTAAGTTATAATCAAAAGTAGTAATTGGTACATGGGATCGATAAAGGCGCATGCCATCGCACTTTATGGCATTCAAGTCCATGCCATTTAAGGAACACCAGTTTGATAGATTATCAAGGTCAGACTGAAGCCAGAGGGCATCATAAATGGTTTTAAAAATTAGGAAAACTTTTAAATCACCTGCAAACAATAGTGCTTCGCCATACTGAAAACAATCAAAGATGTCTTTTATAAATAAGTTGAGGTAACTTGAAATGAGTTAGAATAGTGATGGTTTACTCTAACCATTTGAGTTCTGTTCGTAAGATAGCTACTAATCCATTGCAGTACGACCCTTTTTATGCCAAATTTATCGAGCTTTTGAAGTAAGAAAGAATGATTGGCCCTCTCAAAAGCCTTAGAAAAGTCAGTGTACACAGAATCAATCTGGCAACCCTTCTCCACAGCTTCCTACAGGAAGTCGACGTAGGCAATTAGATTTAATTCTGTCTATTTCTCAGCACAAGTCTGTTATAATGTTCTCAAAAACCTTAGATATAGTACTGAGAATAGATACAGGTCGGTAATTTTTGACGTCTGACTTGCAACCCGATTTTTATATTGGGGTGACATAAGATAAATTCCAATAATCTGGAAACTCACCTGTGGCGATAGAAGCTACAATTTCTCAGTAAGATGAAAGGAATAATGTCAGGACCTGGACCTTTCTTTATGTCAAGATTGGATAATTTCTAGTAAATGGTAAAAATAGGAATGTGGTAAGAGGAAACATTAAATTTTGATTCAATATCGTAAAAATTTTGATTTAGATTTTGATTAGTGTATACTGGTGAAAATATTTGGCAAACAGATTTGATACTTTACTGCCACAACAAGCAAAATAGTCTTCAAGGTTCATATTATCAGGTATGGTGTTATTAGATCTTTTGGTACTTACAAAATTCCAAAAGGCTTTAACAGAAGTTTCAACAGAATGTATCTAATTTGAATAGCATTCTCTAGATATAATCTTGCATTGTGATCTTAACTGACTATTTCATTATTTTGGGGAATCTTGTTTAGCTTGTAAATCTCATGTGCAACCTTTTTATCGTTGACCAAGCTTCTGAGTTGAAAAGAATACCAATGTAGGAATCTGTTTATAACAAATTTCTTTAAGTGAACAAATAACTCAATTACCGAATACAAAGCGTCATAAAGAGTAAGAATCATTTCTGAAAGTTCTTTTCCTTGAAGAAGCCCATCCCAACCCATTGCCTCCAAACATTGGCGTATACCCTCAAAATTGGCGTGGCGAAAATCATAATAATACTCTTCTCTAGGTGCGTCACTTGAGTTCGTCTTATATTGAATTGATTCGCCCACCAGGTAAGACTACCAAAACTTGAGGTAGGTATTTTGTGTATTTTTTGAATAAAAATGAGGAACTTAAAAGAAGAGATGCTAAAGAAACTATGTAAAGAAACACTCTTTGAAAGATAAAGTGATGATTAATGTGTGCTAATTTCTGTAACATTTTATAAATTTTAGACTGTAACACTAACTGGATAAGAAGTATGCTATATTGATATCGTGAAAATGTGTGCCGCAAGTCCAACGAAATATGTAGATTTGAGCACATTGTATGAGGAGCCTTGGAGCAAAACCGAATAAATCCACTTTTTATGAAAATGAAGTTAGCGGCGGATTTCAACTTACTTTGTTAAATTACATCTTTGGGACGAGCAAAACCGAATAATCTTTGTAAAATTCAACGTCAAAATTGATGTTTTTGTGTAAAATCGAATAAATCCACTAGTAAAGTGGTGTAAACATTCGCTGTACTTTAAAAGCACTTTATAACTGAATCAATCAATTTTTTTTGTCATATTTTTAACAAAAATCATTTTTCAAAATTCTAATTGCAAAGGATGTATTATTAAACCAAAAAACCAGTACTTATGTGCAATTGGATAATCGTGTTTTTCCAAAAATCGTTTATAGTGGATTTATTCGGTTTTGCTCTAAAGCTCCTCATTTTATTCGAAAACATTTTCAAGAGCTTGTATAATAAATTTTTTCTACGTTCATAAATTTACATGATAAAAACTTTTTAATAAAAACCGAACAAAACTAAAAAAAAACAGCAACCATAATAATTAGCATTATTATTTTTAAAATATAAAGAATTTAACAAAAATCCCAAAAATATCTAATATTTTTAATATCTATTAAATTAACACAACATATCTATTAAAGCCAAACAATTAGAAATAATTCATTGTACTAGTAAATTAAAGGACAAATCGTGCGAATAATCATTAAAAATAAATAAGTCGAGTTTCTTTTAAAATAATCACGTTAAGGTTGATATAAATAGAGAGTCAATCGTTGACACAAAAAGACTCAAGGGGCGGCCGTTGGGCCAAACTTATGCCCAAAATGTAACTTAGTAATTATTAATATTTATTGTATATAGTATAAAGTATAGTGTTTTTGTTTTCAAAGGTAATATCTATTTTATTTTAACATGTTTAAATCTCTTGTTTGGGTTATGTATTTTAAAACAGTTCATTAGTCTTCTTCAAATGCCAATTCTTTCATTTTCGTCCCAAGTTTATTTATTAAATATTTATCAGATTTAAGGGTTTTATCATAGATTATATTAAATTAAAATGGTTTATCATAATAAAGATTTTCAATTGTGGGTAGTAATTTTTGCTCGTCTTATTTCAAAAATAAAGATTGTTTTGATTTATTGAAATTGTTAATCATTTTTTACTTATATTTAAATATACATGTTATTGTTTATTAACTTATTTTATTCTCACCTCTTTCCAAAAACCAGTAAGAAATATTCCGAGCATGTTAAGCCTCGGCGTTCCTACCCTTAAGGACTTGAGAGTCTTAAGTTAAGTTGCCAAAACCGCTCGACATATGCTATTAAGGGATGTTTTTTTTGTATTTTTATTATTTTATTTTGCCACTGGCGAATGGATGTTCCTTCAGGACTCCAGGATCCTAGGGCTGGTGACAGGTGCTGCCTTTATCCCTTAATAGTATAATGACAACAGTAGCTAAAGACCTATCAGTAGTTGCAAATGGTCGTTAGGCATGCCGGTTGTTACATTTGGTGACAAGCGTTGGTCCTTAGGCTTGCCGGTAGTTACACAACGAATGATAACAACGGGTGACTATATACAAAAGTGTCACCACTAAATAGCCGCTAGTTTTTAGTTTTACATAATATGCATTTTTTTGTTGCATTTTCCAGGATCGTACTCAGAAACTAAACAATTTTCTAGCGTTAATAATAACCCTGTTGTTATTACTATTTATATAAAAAATATATCGTCGGGTTACTGCCAAAACAAGATAAGTACATTTTTTTTCATTTTTGAGTTAAATGCACGTCTAACATTAAAACTGTCTAAACTATGTACTGACAGAACCAGATAATTGTATTAAACGCGGTATATGTTGATACGCATATGCACATAAAAGAATAAGAATCATATTGGCGGCTAAAACAAGACAAGTGCATTTATGTTAGGTTCAAAAATTATTTTAATTTTACTTTGTGTATAAGAAAATACATGTTTTTGGTAAAGGTCGTCCTCTAAATGCAAATGAAATTAAAATCACAAAAGCGTACAAAAGAATTAGGCCCATTTCGGTTAAGAAAAAACAAGACCTACTGAAATTGTGTAAAAGTGATGTTATCCCTAAAGAATACCATCAATATTACAAATCCTTGCCTACCTCTAAAGAGGTAAAAGATTTAGTTCCAGAGCCAGCAGCTGAAGATTCTGATATAGAAGAACTTCCTTTAGGAGAGCAGGATAAATGAAACAAAAATCAAAAAAGTGTTTTTTCTACTAAATACTTTTAAGTTTTATGATAAATTTTTCTACTGTTTAATGTCCAACTGCATTAAAATTCAGTTCTTAAGTAAAAACGGAGTTTTTATTTTATACTTGATTTTTCTCAAATGTTAAAGGTTTAAACATTAATAACTCAACACTTAAAAATGTAACTTATCTTGTTTTGGCAGTAATCCGACGATATATAAGAGTATACCTAGAATAAAAAATGTATTAACCGTCTAAAGTGTTTATCGGAACAAAATTTTTAAATGTTCCATTAGTATTATAAAACACATGAATATAACAGATGATCACTGAATGTGGTTTGGTTAATGTGGAATAAAAAATCAACATCTCGACAGATGGAATATAATATCTAATTTTAGATCACGAACCTGTTCAATCAGAAGATGAGTTTGATACGCAATTGCTGTGTCCAGATGTCATTATCGAAGAAAAGAATGGTTCCATCGTTACAACTAATGGTAATTTTTAAGATTATGTAAATATACTAAAAATATCAAGTCATTTTAATTTTTTTTTTAATTTTAATTGTTATTTATGGGTACAAATGTCTCCAGATATGCTTTTTTGAGCACTGTTTGCAAAAATAATGAGTAGGCAAAAGTGTATCACACAACATTTTATCTACGACTAATTTACTAATGTATTATATTTAATAATACGAGTATATTATTTTGTGACATATGTCTTTTGTTTCCCTGTATTTTACATCTTGATTATATTTAATTTGGAATTAGTTTCATTTTTATTAATATTATTTAAATTGAAAATTATTTTTAACATTGAATAAATTAAAGACGAAGTCAACGGTACATAAACTGGATTTTTCAGATAAGTAAGGAATAAGTACATTTTATGTAAAGCTTTGCTTTGTGGTCGTTGATAAAATCATGTAAACGATGTGATACATTTGAAATAGAACCATCTCTCTAAATTCTTTAACCGATTCCAACAATAACCTAGAATTCGTTTTCAGGATACACTATGATTGTTTTCAAGATTAAAATAGCAAAATCGTTTTAAGAAAATATTCCGAAGCTCCCAAAAGGAACGAAAGTCCTTTAATATAATTATTTATTAGTAATAAATACAGTTATAATAATTTTAAGAAGATTTTAGACAAATTCGGAAAATTGGCAACAATGCCTAAAAAATTAAATCTTATAATAGAAGGCAGATTTAGGGTAACTTTGTTATTTCATATGAATCGCCCTACGCAGTATATTTTTAGTTCCTTAGAACCCTCAATTTTCTCCCTTTCTGAAAAGGTAGCATTAGTAACAGTTTTCTTGTTTTGTATAGAAATTATTTGAAATAACAATTTAACTCTAAAAACGGACAAAAATATACAAAAATTAGTTCAATGAATGCTCAAAATGCTGACCATTGACTGTAACACACCTATTAAAGTCTATATATTTTTTTAATTTTTTTTTAAACCTGTACATATGATACCTTTTTAAAAAGGGAAAAGAAGAGCCTATCTGAATATCTAAAAATATCTGTCTGTATCTGTAACGTTTGGAGGGTGGGTTACCCCCACAGGACTTAGACCTCATTAGGCCCATTGTGCATCCTCATAAGATGATAGGCACCTCCTAGCTCCTGAGCCTGCCTACAGATTTAATGTAGTTGACAACTCGCCGAACATAAATCTTCTAATAAATGAGAGCGTCGAGCAATCGATGGTCTCATCTTCTTGTTCGCACCCTCTCATGATATGGAGATGCTTCCGTACTTAGCAATGACCACTCAGAATGACTGTGACTAGGCGCAGATTTTGTCTAGTCATAGTCAAGTATTTGTTTGCTGCAGTGTTGTCAGGATAACTTAAGAGCTTCCTGGCAACTCTGCAGTTTCTTGTTTCATCCCATCTTTCCTTGAATTTCACAAGGGAATGTTCTTTAATTAGGTCTGTCACTACCGATTTTGTCAGGCCAATAGAAGGGCCAGGTCCAAAAAGTATTTGGTTGGCTGCTTTCTTAGATAGTGAATCAGCAAGACCGTTATCTTTCGATGTGGCGTGATCTTTGATCCATCTTAAGGTGACCACATTGTTGATGATACTTCGGCCAAAGCTTCGTGACATTCTAGTACTAAGCCTGAATAAATTAGTAGTCTGTTCAGGATGACTAGTGCTTTTCTGCTATCTGTATAGATGAGCATGTTCCTTCCAGTTATATTGTTTCTGGTTATTTCTTTTGCTGCTATTAAAATCCCCATTAGCTCTGTTTGAAATAGACTGGCACTATTTTCACAGCCCATTTTATGTTTAGGTTTAAGAATCTGGAAGATATATCTCGGTGAGATGGAGTCCATGTTCGCTTGAAGCAGTGGGAGCGTATCGAGCGCCTCCTGCCAAAAGCGACGTCTCGCCTCACCAGATCCTACATCAGATTCTATTCCAACCGTGCGAAGGCGTGTCATTCTCGTCAGAGCAACCTCCTTAATGTAAATATCAAGGGGAATGAGACTAAGAATGACTTCCATGGCTCTGGTCGGTGTTGTTTTCATGGCTCCTGTTACGTTGAGACATGCTGTTCTTTGAATTTGTTCCAGTTTACGGATAGCTGTTAATTTTTGGATATTCGGTACCCAGACAACTGCACCGTATGTTAGCATAGGACTTATGATAGCCGTGTAAGTCAATGCGACGACTCTGGGGGAAAAACCCTGCTCTTTTAACTGTTTTCTAAATGCGAGTTCCATGTTAACTTGCTGTCAAAGGTGAAACCTAGGTACTTCACCTCTGTTGCAAAGTTTAGTTTTGTGTTTAGGAGTTCTGGAGGTTTTAATTCAATTTTAATCCTTTTCCTTGTGAAAAGGACCATTTCTGTTTTCTTAGGATTGATAGACAGTGAATGATACTTGCACCACTGTGAACATCCCCTCGCAACCAAGCCTCTTATATTCACATCTTCTACATTTATGTTTACTGCTTTAAGAGCATGTTATGTATCCACCCACTAACCATTTGTGAAACATTCCTGTTGGTTAGTAAGTGTATTATTTTTGGGATGGTGGTTTTATCAAAAGCACATTCTATGTCTATGAAAACACCCAAGGCGGACTCCTTATTGTCCAAGGATCTTTCTATCCGGCCAGCAACTAGATGAAGGGCTGAATCAGTAGATCTGCCTGGGATGTATGCATGTTGGTTTGGGTGTAGTGGTGTCTAAAAATATACTTAGTCTTCCATTAATAAGAAAGTTGCCTTATATCTTAAAAAATCATACTCATTTCTGGTGTAATCAGAAGTTGTAATATAAAAGTAAATAGATATGCCAAAAAAAACTCAATTATTTTCGAAGGTGCCCAGTGAAAATTGGATATTGATATCTCAAATACTTTTTGACATACACACATTTAAAATGTTTTCGAAAACTTGGCCATTTCAAGTGGGTTACATTGTATGTTACATTGTTACACTCCATTTGTTGAAGTTAAACACATTTTTTAAAGATCATATTGTCCAACTGGTTAAAAACTATTATTTTTTTTATGTAGATCTGTAATATTTTGTTTAATAATTTCTAGACGATAATGCTGAAAGTGTTGGTTCACCTTTAGACTACAACATAATGGGAATTAAAGGTAGATTTAATCATTTTAAGTGTCTTATCGATTTTAATTTTACTATATTTCTAGCACGGTTTAATTTAAATATTAGAGAGGAACTACTCAGATGCGAGATTTATAAACCTAGTAAGTAAATATTTTTGGTATGTAAAAAACAAGCTCTTTTTGGATTATTTGAGCTCAATTCTTTAGAATTATTCATCCAGCACCATTTTTTATTCGATTTTTTAATTGTAAAAAAGCTGCACCCTCAAGGATTTGACTTTTGTCATCACTTTTTCCTCTTTACGTAGAATTTTGTTTAAAATATTATTTCACAATTTAAATACTACATGAACAGTTTCATTTAATATATTTTTTCTACGTTCATGCAAAAACAAAACTTTATTGAACTATATTTAGTGAAAAACTGGTTCTTTATTGCACTAGTGCAATAAAAATTTTATCGCACTCATCTGTCATTTTACTACAGCTTTTTATAATCATAACAAATATAAATATTCAAATCGACGCCAAATATTTAGTCCATTTTCATTTTCTGTGAGATTGTATTACATTTTAAAAACAATTGCATATTTTATATTATTTTCAATCATTTAATTAGTAAATTAATAAAAAATTTATTTTTCTTAACATAGTTATAGTACTTTTTCAATGTTAATCGATGCTAGTTATTAGTTATTAAATATTTTGCTATTAAATTAAGCTTTTTATTCTTCTGCACTTAGTGTCGCCTAAATAAAACATTTTTTGGTTTTTGCATGAACGTAGAAAAAATATTGTATGCAACTCGTGCAAAAAGTGTTTATTGCAGTCGAAACACTTACTTTTTGCATTTGTTGCATAAATAACTATTTTCAAATCGATTGTCACTTAAATACCAAATATTTTATGAAACAGGGATTTCAGACTTCAGATTCAGTGTACAAATCGAAAGTCCTACAAGCACGTATTAATTGCTGTCAAATTTTTCTTTTTTTTAGGCTACCCCATACAAAAAAGCCGTCTTCATTGCACCGCGTGCAATACTCATTTAGGCAGCGCTCTAAACTGTGCAAATAACGTATTTGTGCACCCCCTATTAGCCGTGCTAGTATGCAATGAATGTTTCGAGTACTATACGGCAGGCGGTTTCGAAAAAGACGACGATGGCGCTGAAATGTATTGCAGGTAATTGAAACTCCTTAACCTTTTTTAGTTTTTAACGTTCCTCTTGTCTGTCAAATATGGAGTACCACAAGGTTCAACCCTCGGACCTTTACTATTATATTTATATATTATTGTTTTTCTGTAATCAAAAATTCTTAGATACACCATTACTTGGGAATCCTTAATAGAGTACTATTATTTTCCTCTTGATTTTAAGTACTTATTCAATAACTTCAAAAAAAACTCTATTTCTATTTTCCTTGTATACCACCTATATTTTACAAAATATGTTTCATTATGAACAGTGGCGGCTCGTGGGGTGGTTCACAGTGACAGAATATAGGTATCAGTACAGATGTTTGAAAAAATTTTCAGTGTTTTAGAAAGTTTATAATATACCTTTCTAAAACACTGACAGTTTTTACCTATATCTGTACCGGGATCTATATTCTACTACTGTGAACCCCCAAAATGTTGGTCAAGACCGTCCCTGATTATGAATTCCTAAGTTATCCAGAACTTTTCATCAAGAATAATAGATTTTTCTTTTAAAAAAACAAAACTTTCTCATGTGTATAAAACTTTTTGAAACACATTGTGCAATGTATATTTAGATACTGTTGTTAACGACGCGCAATCTATTATACAGTATGTACCAAAAAATTGTGTATACATGAGCAAGTTTTGTTTAAAAAAAGAAAACAATTATTATTGCGACTATTTCTCTAGAGAAATAGTCAATATTTGGTCTAGTGAAATAGTCGTTTCAAATATAACACGACCTTAATTATTAGTATTCTGCTATTTTTGTTGTTGCTAAATTTTTCGAACATTTTACAATTTGATTTTACATCATTTTGGCATTAATAATCAACTGATTATTAATGCCAAAAATTATGTCTCGAGATTTAGATTCAACAAAAATAGCCGACTATTATCAAGATCTTGGTATATTAGCCTTGAAAAAAATATTTTGCATTACTTGGGAATCCATAATCAAACAATAAAGTTTGTGTAAATGTAAGTGGTATACAGGGAAAATAGAAATATAGTTTTTTTTGAAGTTATTGAATACTTAAAATAAGACGAGTAATAATATTCGAGTAGTATTCCCAAGTGATTCAGAACTTTTTATCAAAAATAATTGTTTTTTTTTTTTTTAAAAACAAAACTTTTTCGTGTATAAAATTTTTTTAAACACATGCACTTTGTAATGGCGTCATTAACAACAATACATTGATGTTAAAGATATTCTACAGTGTCTTCTTAAAAAGTTTTATAAACGTGTGAAAATTTTTTTTTAAACATTGTATTAATTAAGAAAAGTCAAGCAATTTTAGAAAATGCAATAAAAAACAAAAAAAGGCAAAACTGCTTCTATTGAAAATTATTTACCTTACACTCGGCTTTAAGTTTACAGGGGCGTTTTTAACATAATTAAAAATAAAAACAATAAAAAAACAAGACAGCAACAGTTATAAAGTTGTTATGTAAAAAAATAACAGAAATATTAAATATTCAAAAAATACATGATAGCGCGACTAACTTTGACCAAAATTCGCGCGCTCACAAAATCGCGGTCGTCTAAATTCTGCAATGGGCTTCTATGCTATTAATTTTTATTTTGTTTTGCGAATTTATTTTAATTATTTTGATTTTTTTATACAATGTGACCCATTTAAATTGGAAACACCCCTGTAAAATTTGAAGTTATTAACCAATTAAAACATTTTTTTTAAATTGTCAGCTAACAAATGATCTACTTTGGGACAATATTTAAAATGTTTATTTCAAATTTTAGAGTATAATACGATACTTTTTCGTAGTCATAAATAGAGAATTTTTATTAGCGATTTTTTTATTAAAAAAATACTGGGCCACTAGATTTAGAGTGCCTTCTAATAGCTGTGACTAAAATTTCATTAAAATATAATTATTAATAACGAAGTTATGACCACTTAAAATTCGAAAACTTACGCAATGTAACGGTCACAATAAAACACTCAGTATTAACAGATAGCCATGGAAATTATTTATTCTAATAAATCTAACAATAAACCACCACTGCATCATAATAATAATAATAATAATAATAATTTTCATGGATATCTGTTGATACTGAATGTTCTTTTGTGACCGTCACCTTAGTAAGTATTCGAATTTTAAGTGGTCATAACTTCGTCATTAATAATTATATTTTTATGAAATTTTGGTGACAGCTATTAGAAGGCACTCTTAATCCAGTGGCGTAGTAATTTTTTAATAAAAAAATCGCTAATAAAAATTGTCCATTTTCGACTACGAAGAAGTATCGTATTATACTCTAAAAATTAAAATAAACATTTTAAATTTTGTTTCAAAGTAAACCTTTTGTCACCTAATAATTTTACAAAAATTGGTTCAAATTGGTTAATACCTTCAAATTTTACAGGTGTGTTTAAAATCTAAATGGGTCACACTGTATATGAAATGTTTGTCTTGTCATGTCATTTTATTTGTTTTGTAAATTTTTGACAATTTGTTAAAAGGTTTTTTTTATTAGTCCCAATAAGTCACAACTAAAAAAATCATTTTTCCCCCTCCCTTCCCCCTGTCGCCTTCGCGATATGATAAATAAAGCTGATTTATTTTTTTTTAATTATTATAAATTTTTATGATTGAATTCCATCATTATTCGATTCAAATTAAATTTATTCCACAATTGACGCCCTATAGAAAAAAAAGTGCCAACTCGTTGCTTTGGTCTTTTTTTGGAACACCGTATACAAGTAGTTGATTAATCGGTTGGTATTTCAGATGGTGTGGTCAAGGTGGGCAAGTCTTTTGCTGCAGCAAGTGCCCCATGGTTTTTTGCAAGGTAAAATATAAAATTTATTTCAGTTTTTAATGTTTGAATTGAATAAACTAAACACTTTTTTTAATGCATCCATTTTTAAAGAGTTTATTTTCCACTTGCTTACTATTTAGTTGCCATGAACACACAGAATGTCCACACGCGTTAAAAATAAAAAAGAAAATGTTATTAACCCACCAAAATTATTAATTCCTATACTTCCTTTGCTGAATACAAAAGTAAAACTTAAGAATAACTTTTCATATATATTTGCCCCAATAAAAGTATGTTCATAAATAATTTGACAGTCGTGGACGAAATATAGTATTCTACTAGCATAATATAATACTTATTAGAACTTATTACAGATAACTATAAATTATTATGAAGATACAATAATATTAAATTTCGATATAAAGGTGCCAATTTTTGAAGTCAATTTCATTCCAGCTTTGTGTCAGAATCAATTTCACGACAGTACAATACAGCGCTATTCGAGATAGCGACTATTGGGAGTGTTTCTCTTGCAACCCTTCGCAAATTATGCACTTGAAAGTGCAATGCTACGAATTTGTCAAGTACGTCACCAGCGAGACAGTGTAAGTAAAAAATTAGAATTCTAAACTAAGATGTACTTCCTACTTTTTATTTGATTTACCCTCTTTAACTTAAATTCATATTTTATATTAATTGCAATGAACTTAATTTTATTTAAAAAATGTCAGGATACATATTTTACTCAAATCTTTCCAGATACTTTACAAAATTGATCTTTTTCATGGAATTTCAAGATGTCTTGTGAGGCCATATGATTTATAAATCATTTATAAACGGTGTTCCAGCAATAATATTCTATACATTCTCTAAATGTTTCAAATACTGCACAATTATCCTCTATGATACTCAATGTTCTTCTAACCACCTTTTTACAATTTTAATCTTTCTTTTTTTTAGTTCTTACACAAATATCATAAACCATAATAAATTTCCATTTCAAGATAATTTTTTCTTCAGCATTGTTATTTAATATTACATATGTTTAGTAGCCTGCTAGTTCGCCCGATCTAAGCCCTTTCAATTACTTTCCATGCTGACATGTAAACAGTGTTATGCTACAATTATCTTCATTCAGAAATTTGGTATTTTTCCTCTTACCCATAGTTCAAAAATTGAAACTATAAATATTTCCGTTACAAGTATTTGTTTATTTTTAAATTAATTTATAACTTGTTTAAATGGTAATTAAAAAAATGTCGCAACGTTATTGTTTATTTACTTAATGGTTCATAAAAAAAAACTAGTTCTCATAAATATAATTCCATTATTACTTCTTGGTAAAACAGATTCTCACATAAAAAAAAATAATTTAACATTATGTAACAGCTGTCGCCATTAAACTATTCAGTGAGAGTGTTAAAAGGCATTTTAATTACATAAAAAAAGTTAGGGATAAAAAATTACAAATTAGATAAAAAAAAATTATACTAAAAATAAGCGGATATAAAAAAAAACGTTGTTCTTTCTTGATCATTGAGAAATTTTATTAAATTTTGAACGTAAAGTGACTTAATATTAATGTCAAAATATGATCACATCGAGTTCATTACATAATGAGGTAAGATAGAAGAGGCAACGTCTCATCAAACACAAGATACAGCAAGTCTAACTCCAACTACAAACGAGCACACATCATCGATCTTAATATAACTAAAGGGCAATTTGTACCGTACCTACTCCCAGAAGTACAAAGCAATAATAATACAAGCATGTAGCAATAAGTTTTCTTTTTTAAGCTCAGTGTACATATGTATATAGAATATGTACTCACTCCTATCAGTAAGTGAATAAAAAAAGGATGTACTACTGTTCATTAGTGTTTCATTATCATCGATAAGGAGTTTTTTTAAAGTAAAACATACAGTCCATCAGTATTGGCTCTTTAGTCGAGAAATTTACAGGGGCAATACCTCACCGTAAACAATTTGAATTAACAAATCAGACTAAAAATGACTCCAAAACTAACTTACCATCTTGATATTTGTTCAGTTATGGGTCGGTAGACCTTGAGCAATGAATGGATTGTCTTATATTTAGAAACATTGATGGAAAGACTGTTAACTTTACACAATTCAGCTGAAAGAATATTAAAAGTGTATGACTTCTATTGACTGATAAATATTCTGCACAATGATGGGACATACTTTAAAAACAGTTCTTGAACATGTTCAGGTTGTTTTGGTTGAAGTTAGTTAAATGTTTGTCCAAGTATGTCTACAGGATATACATTCGAATAAATGTTGAAAAACTTGAGAAGCCTGTTACTACCAATTTCAAGGAACAGTTCTTAAACGTGTTGAAAGTTCAGTTTTAGTATAGGTTACTGGTCAAATAGAAAAAATAACCGCAAAATATCTATAATTAATCTGGAAAAAAATTATTTGAATCTAAATTGTACGAGCTATATAAAATCCGGGTTCTCATAAATCCATTCCATATTTCTTATCCACAAACAAAAGATGCAGCCTCACTAACCAGTTTTGTACATCTGTCTGTCCCATGTATGTGGATGGAAAATAGGCACTTTAAAAAATTACGAAGAAGCATAATTTGATATGAAACTTTTTAAGTCTTCATTGGAGACTTGTTTAAAAATTGGAGGCTCCAATCTAACACGTTCAACATCATCACTCCAGAAAATTATATCAGTATAATCAGTGCTTCCATATTTATTACTGGTACATGCAATCATTATTATTCCTGGCAGCAATAACCTGCGGCAAGCTAATTTGTGAATATGATTCCTATCATCAAATAACATTACCAGAAGCAAGGGGTCGAGGTCCTTCGATGCACCAATGATTTTGCTTTTATATTTAACCAAATTGGACCATATTCCTTATAAAATAAGTAATCAAATGTAGCAAATTTTTTGGAAGCTTTTTGGATGCTACATAGATGTGAAGGATTTGATTTGCACTTGTCAGCCACCCGGAATACACCACTATATAAATGTAATGACGTCATCGTCAATTTTTTTAATACTATGCTCTGTATTTGGTGACATTTTTAGATTATCCTTAACGAGCCGATTCCGATAAAGTACGATACTAGGGGTCTAATGGACAAAATTTGAATGATACGCGCTAAAAAAATAAAGTTTTAAAACTAAGACAGTAATGGTTTTTTTTTTCGTACAATGCAGAAAACTAAATTAGAAGTCGACGTGTTTAAAAAATAGTATTTTTGACCCAATAACTCACTAAACATCAAATTTTTCATTACAGTTTACAAAAAATTATAATTTATCGATAGAATAGGCAATTTTTGATTGATCGTCATATTTTTTAATGTCATAATAATTATTAATGGAACGCTTTGTATATGTAGACGGATAAAAAACGGACCACAATCTGAATTCTACATGAGCATCGATTATTCCCAATGCTGCCTCAATGCCAGCCGAAAGAAAAGATCAAAAAGACAGGACCCTGATTTTGTACCATACGTCGAAGGTGCCGTTGACAAAATTAAAAGATCCAAGTTACAGAAACGAGAAGACATACCTCAGTGCATAGTGAAGAATTTAGTAGAACCTGCAGATGCTCAAAACTATTTAAATATGTTAACACCACCGATCATTAATGGTCCTAAGATTACTAGCACCCCGAGTAAGTGTTAGTTTTAATTTACCTTACAATTAAATGATTATTAAACTGATTTAGGTACCACCTACCAAGTCCCAATCCCAATCCCGAAACCAAAAGAAAACCTTCCCATGCCTGCTGTATACACTACTCCCACTTCTCACTATTCCACACCACCATTACTACAAAACCTTAACATAGCAAACTACCAATACTGCAATCAAAACGTTCCAAAAACAATACCAGTTACATCTTCTACTCCAACCATAAGACCGATACTACCAAAAACCTCGCCACACATGAGTTTACATTTTCCCCAAAACCAACTCAGATTCCCACCACCGATATACACAATCAGACCACCTTTACCCCCGCTATCGACGTCTATAAACCGACCGCCGTTATTTAGAAACACCGCCGATGGTAGCACCTCTAACGATACCTCCTCTAGGATGATGTCGACGTCCGAGTTTCGTCAATTAATCGTAAAAAACTCGCGCGAAATGGATAAACATCTTCTGTCAGTCGCCCTGGCCAATTCAACGTTCGCATCCACCTTACTTAAAATACATCAGATTTTCAACGAGGCGAATAACATCGAAGATGTGGTGGTCGTGTACGATACGATGCAGAAATCTTTGAAGATGATGACGGAATCGCTAATGGACGTCAAAATTCGTATCAACGTTGGATCGAGAGGTGGTGGAGTTCATCGCGATGGTACCGGAGGAAATAGTGCGTGCGATGTTGGAAATCAGACTCAAGGTAGTATGATAGGAGTAGGTAATGGTTTGTTAGGTTAAATCAGGGGGTTGAAAACGCTGGAGAAACTCACCAGAACTGCGGCTTCGTCCGGTGTTAAAGCTACTAGAACTGGATTGGCGACCAGTGCGTTTTATAATGAAGCTCTTTACCCTCTATTTTTTTGGCTAAATATTAATAATTAATAGCCTTACAGGTTTTGAAAGCCGATTGCTTGGTTTACTACTTCCATCCATTTCTTTCTATGGAATTATTTTTGCAGTTTGTAACATTTAAGTCTTTAAGTCGTTCTTCACTTTGTTTTCTACACCTTTCTTATAGTTTTTTTTTTATTATCTTTTTACCTTCTGTGACTGGTCATAATCATCTTTCGACGGTTTACCTTCAAACCTCCAACATATGTTTTGGATTTGGATGTAGGATCTGGTGAGGCGAGACGTCACTTTTGACAGGAAATGCTCGATACGCTCCCACTGATTCAAGCGAACGTAGACTCCATCTCACCAAAATATATCTAAAGTTATAATAGAACAAATAGAAGAGCCAGAAGTGGTAGGTACGATTCATATCTACACCGACGGTTTTAAAACAAAACAAGGCTCAGGATATGGAATATACTCCAGATTTTTAAACCTAAACATAAAATGGACTGTGAGCAATGTGCCAGTGTAGTTCAAACAGAGCTAACGGGGATTCTCATAGCAGCAAAAGAAATAACCAGAAACAATATCACTGGAAGGAACATGCTCATCTATACAGATAGCAAACACTCACCCTGAACAGACCACCTATTTACTCAGGGTTAGTACTAGAATGTCACAAATCTTTGGCCGAAGTATCTATCAACAATGTGGTCACCTTAAGATGGATCAGAGGTCACGCCACATCGAAAGGTTGCTGATTCACTAGTCAAGAAAGCAGCCAACCACATACTTTTTGGACTTGGCCCTTCTATTGGCCTGACAAAAATGGGTCATGACAAGACGTAATCAAAGAACATTCCCTTGTGAAATTCAAGGAAAGATGGGATGAAACAAGAAACTGCAGAGTTGCCAGGGAGCTCTTAAGTTATCCTGACAACACTGCAGCAAACAAATACTTGACTATGACTAGACAGAATCTGCGCCTAGTCACAGGCATTCTGACTGGTCATTGCCAAGTACGAAAGCATCTCCATATCAAGGGACTGTCAGAATCCGCACTCTGCAGAGAGTGCGAACAAGAAGATGAGACCATCGAACATATCCTTTACGATTGCTCGGCGCTCTCATTTATTAGAAGATTTATGTTCGGCTAGTATCGGTTAACACCGGCCGATATAAGAGAAGCAGCTCTTGGCGACGTTGTCAATTACATTAAATTTGTAGGCTGGCTCACGAGCTAGGAGGTGCCTATCATCTCAAGAGGATGCACAATGGGCCTAATGAGGCCTAGGTGCCGTGGGGGTAACCCACCCTCCACACGTTACACATTTCCATTTCTTTCTATGGAATTATTTTTGCAGTTTGTAACATTAAGTCGTTCCTCACGTCGTTTTCTTTTATTATCTTTTTACCTCCTATGACTGGTCAAAATCATCTTTTGACGGTTTACTGTCAAAAACATCCAACATATGTATGTTTTGGGATTTTAAAGTTTTTTATTTTAACACGGATACATGGTCTTGCAAAACCTGGCAATTCTAGCGTGATTGTAAGCTCCATCTATATTACCATTGTATTACGAAATGTCATGTTTTTAGTGTCTCCTGACTTAGGTTTTGATAATAAAGCTTTATTCTTTGATTTTCCACCCTACAGCTATGTCTTTGCCATCTGATTCTCTGGGCCTCTGCCGTTATATTTTGTTCGGCATATAGTTCCATAAAATCCCTTGTTCTTTTTCCCCATCTTAATTCCACTTGTTTTCCTTCAAATGTTTCTTAGAACCTTTCTTTCTCAATTTTTGGTATGCCTTTCTTAGTATCCATACTTTTTGTAGTATATTTTCATTTTTTCGAGATTAGCCTGCTTTTAAGTAAAGTACCAGGCACCTTTCTTTTTTATCTGCATACTACTAGTAATCACACTACATTTTTAAGTTGTTCTTTACTTTTTGTAATGATTGTTGTCTTTCTCATTGCTTTGTATAATTCCTCTCTTCTTATTGTAAAAATTTGATCAAATACACCTTTTTCTTTTCATTGGTATTCTCCAACATTTTGTTCAGTTTTTTCCATAAACAAATTCGTTTAAGATCTAAACTGAACACTAAAAAAATATATATTACCCAGATTTGGGGAATTGTTACCTTGTTTGGCCAACCACAGAACTGCATTTTAGTCACGTGATTCCGAATTTCCTGGAATCTAAGGATTTTTTGCGGTTTTACGTACGATAGATTTTTAAAATCGATGTAAAAATTTTAAAAAATTAACCAGAATATGTTTGTAGGTCATTCAAGATTGCCCGTAATAAAAATGTCGTCTGGTTTGCCGCCGTCGAATTATATTCCGAAGTAATTTAGTTTTTAAGCAGTTTTGTTTCGTCATTAGCGAAGATTTGTTGGAAAGAAGGAAAACAATTTATTATCGAAAAACGAAAACTCTTCGTTTGTACTGTATAACTTTTGGTGCAGCTTTTTTGGGAACACAAAAAATGTTCGAGTCCTGAAAATGGCCGATTTAGCAACTGATACGCAGTACAATTAAGTAATAGTGTACTGTGATCGTTTTTGTTTGATATCTTAGAAAATTAGTTTTTAATTTGAAGTTTTATTTAATTGTGCTTTTTTAGAATATATTTTTTTTGTTTGTATTGAAAATGTTTAGAGAATGAACTAAATAGATATATTTTCCACACACATCTGACTCGGGAACATCTTTTTTATACATACATTGCCAACGAAAATACTGAAAAATTAAAATTTTACACTTTTTCTCAAATTTTTCCATTACGGTCCATTTTAGATAAATCATATATAGAATAAAAATTATAGGGAATGATATCGCAAACAACTTTTATTTGAAACAATTTCTTTTATCAATAATAAATAAGAGATATTCCTTAAAAACGAAACCCTATATTATAAGGTTCGACTATGCGCAAAATTTAATCAGTTCATAGCAGAATGGATTAAAGCTTGAAGATTAAAATTTGGTGCTTTTCTCGATTTCCGCTTTTAAGTTATCTTCAAAATTCGAAATTTGCACTTTTCTTAAATATCTTACAATATATTTCCATTTTAGGGAAATTATGTATTAAACAAGAATTCTAAAAAATGACATCACAGGCAACTGTTAATTGAACAATTTTCCTAAAAATTAGAATTTTGATCTATTTGTCAAATTTCTCGAATATGGACCATTTTTGGACACTTATGTATACCTAGACAAAAAAAAATATACAATTACATTACAAGCAACTTTTATTGGAAGAATTATCTTCTCCAAGCGAAAATAACAGATATATTTGATAAAGAACCCCCCCCAGATGCTCCGACTATGCCCAAAATCTTATCAACTCACTGTAGGAAGGATTAAATGTCATGTTTAAAATTTGGTGTTTTTCTCTTTATCCGTTTTTTATTTTTTTGCTTTTCAAAATTCAAAATATGCAATTCTCCTTAAATATCTCAAATACAGTCCATTTTAGGAAAATCATGTATAGGACAAGAATTATAAAACATGACATCACAAGCAACTTTTATTTGAAGAATTTTCTTCTCCAATCGTAAATAACAGATATATTCGATAAATAAACCTCCTCCCCCCCCCCAGATGTTCCGACTATGCCCAACATCTGATCAGCTCATTATAGGAAGGATTAAATCTCATGTTTAAAATTTGGTGTTTTTCTCTTTATCCGTTTTTTATTTTTTTGCTTTTCAAAATTCAAAATTTGCAATTCTCCTTAAATATCTCAAATACAGTCCATTTTAGGAAAATCATGTATAGGACAAGAATTATAAAACATGACATCACAAGCAATTTTTATTTGAAGAATTTTCTTCTCCAATCGTAAATAACAGATATATTCGATAAAGTAGAAAAACGACCCCCCCAAGATGTTACGACTATGCCCAAAACCTAATCTTTTCACCGCAGGATGTATTAAAGCTTGCGTTTTTATTTTTATCCATTCGAGTATACAAACACACACTCGCACAGACATCATCATCGCGAAAATAGTCAAAACGAATTCAAGGAATCCCAAATCGTAAAAATATGTCAAAACTCGAGATCGAAAAAAAATCATAATTCCTATACTTTCCTTATCTGGTATTTTTTGTTTTCTGTTCTAATATATGTCTAAAATGTTAACTCTAGTGCGTTTTTTCTGGCCACCCATTATGAATCTATTAAATTATGAAAAACCCTGTAGAAACGGTATTTTCTAAAAAAAATAATCCATTCAATATAATTGAAGTGGAACATATTTTATGTGACATAAAATTGATGTGAGAATCTTTATACGAATATCCTTCCTGTTCTGAACGATCTCGAAGAATTATTAAGGAAATGAGTGTCCTATACAAATCCATGAAAGTTATTAATGGAGGTGAGTAGAGGAAATGAAAAACTTGAAATTATTACACTTATATCATTAAGTTAGCATTTGTATTTAACATCTTTACTAGTACCAATTATATTTAATAGTATTATTGCAGTAATAACACGTTTTTAGAAACTTAGTATGTATTAAAATTAACTATATGAGTTTTTTATATCAAAATAAAACTTGAAAATTGAAGATCTTGCTGCAAAAGGGGGACTGTTCTATTTTTGTTAACTTTTGGGTAATAAAATAAAAGTTTTATAAAAACTGTCGCTAGTTTAAAAAAAATTAAACATTCTAATCAAAGAATAACATATTTACGTGTAACTTATAACTATTTTTTTGTAATATATATTTTTTTGAAAGAAAAAATGGAGCACTCTTACACCATAGTTAAAAAAAGGCATTTATCTACCTATAAAGTAAAAAAACTCTGTTTTGAAAAACTTGTAAAAATATTGAAAGAAACAGAAAATACATTTTCGGACTTATATACCCTTCTTGCACCAAACAATTACGGAGGAAAGTCTAAGCTCCATTTGCAACACTGGTCGTTAGGCAATAAGTCAAGTTTAAAAAGACATTTTTTCTTTGACAATGTCATTTTAAGTTTCGCTTATTTCTAAACTACTAGCGGTGCGAATGGCCCTAAAAGTTTCTTATTTTTGACCGACTTCAAAAAAGGAAGAAGTTCTTAATTCGTCGGAATATGTTTTTATAAAATCCCAAACAAACTGCCCGCGTAGTTGGATACCACAGCTGGCAGGCGCTATATCAATGAGTAAGAGATATATCGTGGGGTGTGTCATCTTTCGGAGGAGATATAAAGCCATGGATGTTGGGCTCCTTAAAGATCCCTTCCTCTGCTTGAAATCCCAGAGGATTTGGCTAAATTTCTTGTATTTGGGGGTAACGTATTCACCAGCATCGATGTTTAAACCTCGTACTTAGAAAAAATAGGCTGACGTAAAACAAATTAATAATAAAAAAAAATGGGCATTAATTTAAGACAATAATTTAAAATGTAAGAACTAAATAGAATTGCTAAACAAAAAAAACTTTCTTCTGGATGTTTTGCAGTCAGAATTGTAGCAAGAGAAACTAACTAAGAGTCTAGTTAAGTCCCATTTAAATTATATGGAATTGCATTTTGGGGAGGTTGTAGCCGTGAGTTATTTAATACTGATTTTTGTCTCCAAAAAAAGAGCAATACAATATTTATGTGGAATAAACAATCTCGACACATTTTGTCAACCTTTTTGAGGAAGATAATAATGCCACTAATTACTCTCGACGACATTAGATTGACAAAAAACATGTATGGAAAACAATGACATATTTTGACGCAAAACTGAAATTGGTAAGGGAACATCAATCAAAAAAAAAAATGTTCTAAGCTCATTCTTTTGCATCACCAATAATAAAATATAAAGTTAGAATAATTATATCTAAAACTCATGTAGGTATATAATGTACCATTAATTTCAGATTAAATGCGTACATGAACAACTAAATACAATAGTAATTTCTTAGTGCATCTGCGTCATTTATTTTGCACCCGTCTTATACCTATATAGCGTAGATATAGCTATATAAACAAGCTATCTGATTTTTATGCACGCATTTACGTGAAACCAACTATACATATTTTTCCGTTAATCGTGTATTAATTCATCCGGTTAATGTTGATGAAATTGGGCATTAATTGGCCTAATTGATGGTCTACTTTTATGAACATGAACTATTGTTCTTCCTATTTAAATCAAAACAACATTGACATAAAAAATAACTTGATTTTGAATCAAATATTTTTACCGTTAAGTTTACCATCAAGAAAAAATTACCAATAGTGTGGTCCTTTTAAAAACCAGTGCCAACATTTAATTTCTGAGCATACTGTGCTCATATCGGTATACTTAAATGTTTATTTTAGCGAGAACAATGTCTCACTATGGATGGATTATATTTGTTGCGCAATGAATAAGTTGGCTCGTCGGTAATTATATTTCTGCCTCGTCTCGTAAATAAGATATATTGTCGCCCCCTGTATATGCTTCGATTCGACCACATAGTTGAAAGCTAAAACTATTTGATATATTCCCTTCTCCACGAATCCCCTCATCCCAACACTTAGTTTCAGTCTTTGTTTATGTGCCGTAAAGATCACATCTATATTATATTTCCTAGTAAATTCAAAAACAAAGTGTACCGATGACTAAACCTCATAATAAACATTCAAAAAAAAATCGATTCAGCGTTCTCGCGTTTAGTACGTGTTGTATAGATGGTTTAGCTAGAAATTCACCGATTGAATCTACAAAGTTTTTTGTTTTGTTAAGCAATTCTTCCGTCATATCAACAATAAAGTTATTCTGTGATTGAAAACGGTAAGTAATTGCCTTAATGCCGAAAATGAATATGTATTTTATTTGTACGATTTTTTATACTGCTAAATAGTTAGATATTGAACGAAAATTTTTAGTATTTTTTATGATACCTACTGGTAAAAGTTCGTTTCTTCTTTACCATTTTAAATTCTAGTGTGTAGTAATTTCTTTGCGAAAGTAGTTGTTATTGGCCTTTTTTTATAGGCTTAAAGAACTGTTACAGATTAGATATAGCCTAAATAGCTGAACCTGAAATGGCACAATATTTTCAGGTAAAAAGATTTTTTAGAAGTTTTTTAGGTTTAAGACCAGATGTGCTTAAATAAGAAAACACGTGCGACATAAATGTAGTGTCGAAACCTTGCCAATAAATTAGCAGTGTTACTGGTCTTATATATTGGTTAGCACATTCAAATTTTATAGCCATAGAAATACAGAATTGTCAGAAAAAAAACAAGAAATTCAGATAAAGATAACGAAAAAAGTAAAGATATCCGCTAACAATAGAGTTTATCCCATGTTAAACCTTCCGTTTTCTTTTATATAAACCCAGGTATTTGCGTAGCAACAACCTTGTTAGAGTATAT